TGTCACCGTCTCACTGTGAAGTGGGGAGAATAAGTTGTTGGCTCCAGGGATGATGCCCCCAGCACCTGGATGTATTGTAAGGAGTCAGCGCAGAGGTGGTAGCTGAAGTCTTGTGAGCTGATGAGATGGTCCCAAGAGAGGACAGGATCAGCAGGGGAGTGCAGGCTAATGGAAGCTCAGATCAGACAGGATTAAGAAAGAGAATTTGATCAGTGAACTCAGACAAGAGAAGGAGGAGGAGGATGAGACTTGTCTGGGAAGGGGCAGTTATAGAAGTGGAGAGGATCAATGATGCTGTTAGAAGGCAGAAACACAAGGCAGTGACTATAAGAATGGCTGCAGTGGGTCTGACCAATGGTCCATCTACCCCAGTATCCTGCCTCTGATAGTCAGTGCCAGATGCTACACGGGGAATGAACAGAACAGGGCGATTATAGAGTGACCATCCCCTGTGGTCCAGTGCCAGAGTCTGGCAGTCAGAGGGTTAAGGACACCCAGAGCATGCGGTTGTGCCCCTGACCATCTTGGCTAATAGCCATTGATGGACCTGCACTCCATGAACTTAACTAATTCTCTTTTCAACTCAGTTATACTTTTGGCCTTCACAACATCATGTTCACTGATGGGATGGAGGAAGGGATATGGGGCAATAGTTGAAGGGATTGGTGGGATCAGAGGAGGACTTTTGAGATTGGGGGAGACCAGAGCTTGTTCGCGTTTGATTCTAGTGAGCTGGTAACATGTCAGGGGATCTCCTATTGTGAATGGCACTCCAGGCATGTTGACAGGGCCAAAGATTATCCATCTCTAAAACTGAACTGTAATCCTCACTCTTGTGCGGAGGAATAGATTGTTTACGGTTCAAAGAGTTAATTGATGGTGTGGCTACAAGGGCAGTACACCTCATGCATGTGGACATCTGGCACTGTGCAGTCTCAGAAATATTAAGGAAAATGAAATGAGTAAAATTAGTTACATTTTTTTGTTTGTCTTAGCTATGTTGTTCAGTGGTACTTTCACTTGTGTGTTAGAGACAGAGATTTGAAATATTTATAGGCAAAAGAAGGAGCAATTCTGGGATTGGGCCTCTTTTCTTTTAGCCTGTTTTGTCAGATACTAAAATTGTAAAAGTCACTCTAGTCATCTTGTGGCATCTGATGTCTTTCCGGGAGTGGCCTGGCTGTTTATATGATTCTCAGAACAGTCAGATGAGTGAACTGACGATTTTTCCTTTTGCAAAATTCCTTTTTCTACAGTGTCTGTGCTGAAAACAATCCCAGGCACCCCTGAAAAAAACCCAAATAAAACTGCTGATTGTAAGATGGAGAAATACCCATTCTTGCTCTGAGCACAGGATTCATGGTGATCAAAAGAAGCTTTTGTTTAAGGGATGAATCTCTCCAGCTCAAGTTGGTCACTAGCTCGCCCATGTGGAGTGTGGGTGGGAGCTGGAGAGTTGCTTAGGCTGAAGCTCGTCATGCAGTGGGGACTCAGCTACTCGGTGCTGCTAATCCAATCACGCTCTGCACCTCCACCGTTATTGTGCAGCGCAGTCGCTGTCACTCGGCTAATTCCTGTTTAGAAAACTTGACCTAGCACAGCAGTGAAGACGCCTTTAGTTTAAACCCCTGGTTGTGGGAGGCTTGTCTGTTCTCATAGGCTACTGGAAAACCTGAGGAACCCCCAGAACGGGGCTCACCTGGCCTGTGGCATGTCCCTGTAGCATCTAAGGCATGTTAGGATCCTTTTCA